CTCTCTCTCTGCAGAGGCTCCCGCGCCGGCGGAATTCAATCAATAAACCCCGAACCCACGGCCGCGCGTTTTAGGACTTTGAGTAAATCATTTTTTTAAAAAACCCTAGAAATTGGCATCTATGTAAGTGGGTAACCTAGGGACACAAAATATTTATGTTTTTGACACATTCTTAGTCAAAAATTCCCCTAAGGTAAGGAATATTTTTCAGTGTTACTGGAAGACTTTTCTGCGGCACACAACACCTGCCTGGAAAATGAGAGGTCATGAGTTCAATCCCTGGTACTAAAGAAAAGAAAAAAGAATCCTAAAGCAATGGCTTCTCTACATCATTCTCCAAATGAGTGTGGTGGACCATGCCAGCTCCCTGAAGGATGAGGCAGGAGGAGCTATTGAGCCCATGAATTTGAGACAATTTATTTAACTTATGGCTAAATTTGATGTCCTAGATATGGAAAAAATAAAATACAAGGAATGATTCCAGGTGCTGTGGTGCACACCTGTAATCCCAGCACTGAAGAGACTGAGGCAGGAGGGGCACCACAAGTTGAGGTCAGCCTGGGCTACATAGCAAGACTGTCTAAAAAAAAAAAAAAAAAAAAGCAATGAATGAAATAAGCAAATTCCTAGAAACACACAGACTACCAAAACTGACTCAGGAAAAAAAAAAAAAAAAAAAAAAAACCTGGACAAATTTACAAGGAGCAAGAAAACTGACTTGGTTATTTAAAACCTCCCAGCCCCCAACTGTCCCTGAATCACATGACTTCATTTGTAAATTCTGTCTCATATTTTTTTTAAATTTTATTTTATTTTATTTATTTTTTATTAATTTTTTTGAGAAATAGCAATGAGATAGTTTCAAAACAGGTTAGTAGGACAGTTACAGTAATTAACACATTGCATATTGTCTTTGTAGTAGTTATTCATACTGCAAGATGCAGACATGCTATCTTGTCTAAACACTATTAGTATAAATCTTCTTATTGAACTGAGATAAAGTAGCTGTAT